GGTTGGAGGTGTTTGTCAGGAGCTTTGCATTTGAGTGTAGAGGGAACCCCTGGAGGCAGGGCTCTGACCCCTGGCCCCAGCAGGGGTCCTTCCAGAGATCCTTTGCCCTTGACCACAAAGCTATAAAGTGGACAAAGGGAGCAGGGTTCTCATGTCTGCACAGGGTTCCCAAGAGGGCAGGGACGGGGTCCTCTCGATGTTAGATCCTTGGCACAGGGGCTGGCACACAGTAGGTATGAAGGAAACATGTCAAGACCTGTAATGTCGGTGACCTCCCCTCCATGAGCCTGTTTCTACATCCATGAAGCAGGGATGCTTCGTGGGCTGTCTGCAGTGCTTGGATGAGCAATGGCCACTCCACATGTGCACATATACATTATGTACACACACACACACACACACCAGGCATGGATGGAACACACAAGGTCCAGCTTCTCACAGCGCTTCAGTTCTCCAGTATTTAATTACTGAGCACTCACTACGTGCAGGCTGTTCTCAGCCTGTGTGTTCATTAACCCGCTGAATTTTGACAAGAGACACAGAAAGGTCTAGTTACTTGCCCAAGGCCACACAGCTAATGGCCCCAGTGGTTAACTACCTGTTACCACAGGTTATGATGAACAAAAGGCTCAAGATACACAGGCAATGAGTCAAGAATGGAGACCTGAGACAGCTGTGACACCCTGAACAAGAGGCAGCCTCCAGAAACGGGAATGTGAGAGGCCACAGGGCAAAGTAGAGCTTGGAGGAGCTGTGGGGCTAGAGAGGCAGGGCCAAGCCCCACAGGGCAGGGCCACAGGCAGTGGGGTGGCAGGCCCCCAGGGCCTTCTGCTCGAGCACACAGAGCAGTAAGAAGCCTGTGGCTGGATGGAAGGAGTGCTCACACTCCCAGTGCAGGAGGCACAAGTAGGCGGGCCAGGCCTTCAGACAAAACAGCCTGTTTGAGGACGTGGCAGGTGGTTGGCGGGAAGCCTGGGGCTGCCACCTCCCTGCTGGGTGGCTTCTGTCAGACAGGTGGAGGTTCAGAACCAGCAGCCTTGGCACAACGGGGCCTCTGCAGTCCCAGCACTTTCCTCACTTCACCCCCACGGGGCTCCGGGAGGGACTTGTTACCTGCTCCAGGACTGCAGCAGGAAGGGCCACCCTGTGCCCTTCCGACTGGAAGAGGGCCACTTCTCTCCTGAGGGACAGCAAGCCCTCTCCCCAAGTCCGTACCGTGAGTGCCTAGAGGCAGGGTCCACAGACTATAAAGACCTGGATGGTGAACACTTCCACCTGGCTGGAACAGAGGCTCAGATGGGCGGATCCAGCCCACATTCAACGTGCTGACCTCAGTCTGGAGTCCCAACCCTTGGGAAATTCAGACTCCACATGTTCATGGATGAAAACCCTGTCATTTAAGGTCTTGAAGCCACCTGGTTCCAGCAGGGTGAAATTCTCAGGATTCCAGAGGACTTCGCTGGTTCCATTTGCACTTTCTAATGTCTCACCAAAGTTGTCTCTGAAGCGCTGAACGCAGGAATTTCCACCAGCCCCTCCCCTCAGCAGGGGGGCTGAACCAAGCCCTGCACTGGGGCTGGGCCCCTCCACCTGCACCTGGTCCCTCCAGTCCCAGCACACTGACCTGTTTGGTACCAGTGAGTGTGGGTACCCTCTGGGAACAAGCTAACAGTTCTAGCGACACGGCCTGGGATGGGGACACACACACACACACACACACACACACACACACACATACACACACACACACGGCCGAAGGGTCAGGGTCACTCAAGGCCTAGGAGAGGCAGTTGAAGAAAGCTGGCTGATACCTTTATTGATCTGGGGGGGAAGGGGGTGCTCAGGAGCTCTTGGTGGGGCGGGCCCGCTTCCTCTTCACCATCACAGGCTTCTGGCTGCGCAGGATGGCGCTGGCCCTGCGGATGGCGGCCATGCGCAAGTCTGGGCGGTACTTGTTCTTGCGGATCATGTGCCGGATGCTGCTCAGGGTGGCCCGGGCGTTCTTGTTGATGGTGGTCCGCACATAGGAGGTGGCCGGCTTTCGTTGGCCTGGTGAGGGAGAAGGGGGCCCGCCCCAGGGGTCATTTGGATATCCTCTGTCTTTGATGCACCTTCCAGGTGTGAGGGGACACTGCACCCTGAGAACCTGAGTCTTGGGTGGGCAGGTAGCCCTGTTTCCACACATGAATTACGGGACACTTGCAGTGACCACCCAGGCCAGGCCATTGGCACTGTACAGGCATCTCCTCGTCGCTGTGTCCCAAACAGCACTCATCATCATCTCACTATACAGAGATGAGAGCAGACCCAACGAATGAGAACTTCTGTCCAAAGTCTCACATGCACAGAGCTGTCATAGGCCACCTGACTCCAGGCAGAGGGAGGTGAGGCAGGCACCAACCAGACAGCGATCACTCCCAGCACTGTAGCTGCCCCCGCCAGACCCCTGGTACACACTGTGAACAGGGTCTGAAACACCAAGCTGGAGGCCTGGCCCCAACACTGGGGTGACGGGGAACCACGGAGGAGCAGGGGTGAGGAGAAGCCTTGGTGCACAGGTGGAGTCTGGACTCCACTGCCCCGAATTCTGCCAAAGACCCCTCCCCACACCTAGGCTATCGCTGAGTCACTGACCCAGAGCAGGGCCCATGTTAACACCTCACATCAGTCTGGTTCCTGACAGCCTGGGAAAGGCCATTCCACCATCCAGGAGGAGAAAGTTTTCAGAACCCTACACACCCTGAGGAGGAAGGGTCACTCCTTCTGGCAAGCAGGAGGCACTGGGATCTGGAGCAGGCGGGCCATGCAAGATGCTGGGCCTGACCCTATCAGAAGCTGCTCCCAATCAGGGACCTGAAGAAAAACTCACTTCTCTTAAAAACCGCAGCGAAGTGAAGTGATGGAGGTATAACCCATGTGACTCAGAAAAGCCCCTGAACTCCCTGACCTCCAGTCAGGCACTAAAATGGCCCTGTCCGTGCCTAAGGGTGCAGTTCACGGGGGTAGGTGCTCTGCTTGAGCACACACAGCAAAATGTGGGTCAAACTGCTGCTTCTGACCCAGCCTGTCACTTCCTTCAAATAGGAGGAAGGGAGAGCATCATCTATTTTGCCTAAATTTTCCCCAAGAGCAGCAAGGTGGAGACATCCACCTCTACCTGGGGTGTTTGAAAGGTTTAATCTGAAATCATCAGATTATGTAACCCTATAGTTCAATGCAAAACACCATTCCCCAGAACATACAGTTCAGTTCTTACTAAAAAGACTGAGCCATGTGATGGATGATGGAGTGGCTAAGGCAAGTCAGCTTCCCAGAGGAACACCCTGACCCTAGTATCCTCGACTGAGAGGCAGAATTACTCCTGTTCCCATCAATGAAAAACCACAGTTCCCTGTCCCCCAAAGGGGCCATGCCAGGGAAAACGCTCACCAGATCTCCGCTTCATGACGACCACCACACCTTTGCCATCGGCTGCTGGCTCCACGCCCACCGTCTTGCGGTGAATCAGCCCGTTGTAGCGAAAGGAGTTGCGGGCTTTAAGATTATTGGGTTCCTGAAAGAGAAGATGCACAGGGATCGTGAAGAGGGGGAGGATGCGCCGACCGCGAAAGTGCCCCCCCACGCGGACCCACGCGTCTAAGCCCCACTTACGGTGCTGTACGTCTGCTTGTTCCTCTTGATCAGGAAACTAGAGCAGTTCCGGATGACCATCCATTGCAGGTGGGCAGACATGGCTGGAGCTGCGGGGAAAGAGGACCAGAGAGATGTCAAAGGGAGCCACAGGCCGACGCCGACCCCCGGGACCCCACTAGGGCAGAGAGAAGGTGTGAGTAGGAACCTGGCGAATGCGGGCAACGTGAGGGCAGACAACACCAAGGAACTTGCCAGGCGGGGCTAGGCGACCTAAGAAGGCGGCGGGGCTGAACTGCGGGGAAGAACGTGAGAATCTACAGCGCCCTCGGGCGGCGGGGCTGGGGGTCAGCCAAGGAAGCGAGGGACACGAGGGACGCAATGAGAAAGCCCGAGAGGGAAAAAGCAGGACTGCGGGCAAAGGACCCGGCCACGCGGACGGGCGGAAGGCCTCCCCTCACCTCCTCTCGCAGCAACAGCCGGAGACGGAAAGAGGCACGTAAGGGGCGGGGCGACGCCTTTAATACCGATACGCATTTCCGCTTCCTCTCTGGGCTGCCGAGCGTCGTCTCCAGATTCCCGCCTCCGGGGCGGCTCGGAGACCTTCGGCTATTTCCGCCATGCCGCCTCACTCCGCTCGGAACCCTTCGGATCTCTTCGGCTAGAGACCCCGGGGCGTGTTTTCTGACAAGAGCGAGTCCTGGCCCTGCGAGTATTTCGCAGCTGGGTTTCCGAATGGGTAGAGCTCGAGAGACCCCCTCAGTCCCTTTTCTCAGCGGCTTCTCCCTAAAATTGCCCACCCAGTGCTTTGCACAGGATGGGCGCTCAATACACATTTGTTTTAGAATTTGTTGTCTATGAATGGCCAGGTGACAGCGTGAACTATTTAAGCCTAGCCCTGGAGTCTCGGTATTTCCGGTCTTCCTCGTCAGCCCTCGACTATTGCCGTGGAAGGCTCGCTCGGGTATCTTCGGAACTCTCCGGAAACGCTCTTCGGAGAAGGGAGCCACCTTTCTTTATTGGCCCATGCCCGGTTCGGACCAGTTCGGCAACACTCGGTCCCACTCAGCCACGTTCGGAATCCCCGCAGCCCCCCTTAAGTTCCCCTTTCAGGGTCCTCTTACAATAAACTGTTAAAGTGTTGGGTTTAGAGAGAAACTAGACCTTACTTCTCGCAGACTGCTCCACCCACGGGAGCGTGGATTTCCTCTTTGGGCGAGTTATTTGGAGGAAAAGAGACGTGCCTGGGGAAAGGCTTTGGTTCGTTCCTTTAGGGGTCCCGTACCTGTTCGCTCAGCCTCCTCCCCATTCTATGTCCCACCAGTTAAAATTCCTGGAAATCTGTTTTCCGTTTATTTCGACCTCGTTTATTTTCTGAATCATCTTTAAGGGGTAGGAGCCTTGCCTGATGTTACCCGAGTCCTCCGCCTCACCAGCACAGGACTGGGCGAAACGCCTACGGAACAAAAGCAAATGACAATGCCTTAGGTCGCCTCCATCAAAGCTCCATGAATCTGACGGTGGGGTCAGAGTCCTGGGAAGGGTCCACCTTTGTGCCTTCCGTACATTGCCTGGGTGGCACCCAGGAGGCTCCAGGGAACAGACAACGAGTGAGCGAAACCTCGGCTCCGCAGGGCCCGTGACTGCTCATCCCTGCGTCCCAGAGGTGCTCGTGTTCGAGGGCCTTGTCTGGTCCTTGTTTTTGACACTACCTCTCCCCACTGTGGGTGCACAGAAGGCCCCAGAAGGCGGTCGGAAGAGAACAAGACCCAGATTCCCGCCGCGCCCCGCCCTGCCTCCATTAGAGCGTCCAGAATATTTTCCATGTGTTATTTCCGCTCCTCGGGGTGCCTGGGGTCCTGGGCCACTCTTATGCCTCAGCCCCAGGCCCAGCACGGAAACTACGGCCAAGGAGCACCCAGGGCCCGTCCGTAGTAGCCCGGCTTAGATGACCGGACGGCAGCCGGGTACACCTGGCGTTGTCCCCGACCCCGCCCCTGGCCGGGCGGCACCCGGAAAGCTCCCCGCCGGAGCCAGAGCGGCGAAGCAGGGCCATGGCGACAGCGCCAGCAGTGTGCGCCCCGCAGGGTCCCCCGCCGGGTGCACCATCCCCGCCGGTCAGCACGCCCGCGCCCGCGCCAGCGCCCGCGTCCGGCTTGGGCCGTTGCCGGATGGCGTTGCTACTGGCCGTGGCGCTGGACGTGGCGGGCATGGCGGCGCTGCTGACCGGCGTGTTTGCGCAGCTGCAGGTGCGGGGTCGTGACTTCGGCGACCTGCTCATTTACTCCGGGGCGCTGCTAGTCTTCATGAGCCTTCTGGGCTGGATCCTCTGGTACACCGGCAACATCGAGATCTCGCGCCAGGAGCTCGAGCGCGACTACGGCCTGCAGCCCTCCGCGCTCGCCCGCCTGGCGCGTAAGCTCTCCCGCCGCTGGTCGGCGCCCGCTTCTGCCACGGCGGGCCAGCGTACGACGCCTGACTCCCGGGGAGCTCGCCGTGCCACCCGCGCGCCCCCGCCGCCCAACGCCGGCTCCCGCCGAGTACGCCTGCAACTAGCCACGCTCGAGGCCGCGCCCGGGGCGGCGGGCGCGGGCACGGAGTGAGCCCGAGGTGAGGTGCCGGGAGGCGGAGCGGGGAAGAGGCGGAGGGACGACTGGAGAGATGGCAAGAGTGAGGGGAGAGAGGGAGGGACCGAGGGGAGGGACTGTGGGAGAAAGAAAGGGACTGAAGGAGAGATGGAAGGACCTAGGGGAGAGAGGGAGGGACAAAGGGCAGGAAGGGAGGGACTTCGGGAGAGATGGAATTAGAGACACAGGGGAAGATGGAGAGGTAGAGACAGTGGAGCGAGAGAGACACAGGACCAGGTCAAGATAGGAAAGGAGAGAAACAGAGTAGCAGAGACCCAGAGGATGGAGAGAGCAGGCATGAATGCCCCTTCCCCCCTCTAGATGAGAGAGGGACGCTATTAGATTGGAGGTCCCTCCCTGCACTCCAGCCCCCAGGCACATCAGATCCCATGTAGTCCTAAGTGTACCTGGGTCTCCAAGGTCACTACTCTTACCACCCCCATCCCAGGGGAGGACACTGAGGCCCAAAATGATGCCACCTTTTGTCCAGGGGCACACAGCTGAGATTCTCCTGACAAAACGTCTAAAGAGAGGGGGAGTAAGAGTGGGGATGACCTACCGAGGCAGGAGAGTGATGGCGACACAGACCAAGACTCAGGGAAGGCTCCTTACCTCCCCTTTACCCCTCCTCTATTTTCTATTCCCTTTCCTAAACACACTCTCCAGCATGCATGCCTCTGCTCAAAGACCTGCTGTGGCTCCCCATTGCCCTCTGGTTAAACTCATGCCACTCATGTGGGCCCACCGTGTCTCAGCACCACACCTTCTCTGCAGGTGTGACGTCCCTCAGACCACCGACAGCCAGGTTCTCACACCAGTTGGCCTCTGTTCACACTCTCCCTACAGCAGGAGTGCCCTTGCTGTCTGTACTCCGCAGAAAACTTCCCATGTGTCCTTTAAGATCCAACTCAACTCCGCTGCCTTTCTCTGGGTCTTCACATTGTGAGTTACCCTTTATTGCTTGTATCATCATCCTGTGTCGTGTCTGTGTGTGCTGGTACTGTCTCTCCCACCCAGCAGGGAGCCCTTGAAGGTGAGGTCTGAGTCTCTGGTGTCTTTGTTCTTAGCAAAGAGAGAACCCGAGGAATCAGAGGTTGATGATTACCTGAGTGGACGGATGGATGGATGAATAGGTGGATGGATTGCCTGGATAGGTGGGTGGATAGAGAGACAAATGGATGAATTGGTGGATGGATGGATTAGTGGGTGGATGGATGGATGGATGGATGGATGGATGGATGGATGAGTTGATGGATGGTTGAATGGGTGGATGGATGGATGGGTGGATGGATGGATTAGTTCATGGATAGGTAGGTGGATGGATTAGTTGATGGATGGATGGATGGATTAGTTGATGGTTGGGTAGATGGATGGATTAGTGGATGGATGGATGGATGGATGGATGGATGGATGAATGGATGGATGAGTTGATGGATGGGAAGATGGATGGATTAGTGGATGGATGGATGGATGGATGGATGGATGAGTTGATGGATGGGTTGGTGGATAGATGGGTACATAGATGAATGGATGAGTGGGTGGGTGGATGCACGGCTACATGAATGGACAAATGGATAGTTGGATGGATGGATGGATGGATTGATTGATGAATGGGTAGATTGGTTGATGGGTGGCTGTGGTTGGATCACTGGATGGCTAGGTACATTGGCTGATGGATGTCTGGTTGGATAAACATGATTGAATTAGTGGGTGGGTAGATGGGTGAAGGGGTGGTAGGCTGCATGGTTTGGGCAGACAGGTAAGAACGTGGATGAGTGGATGGCTGGGTTTGTTAATGGGTGGACAGGTGGAACAAATGGATGGGTGAGTGACTGAATCCCTTTCTCAAATGGAGTTTCCATAAAACAATTAAACTTTACTGTCTTAAGACTTTCTTTGTATGTGATGAATTAACTTTTCTTTTATATATCCAGAGCAATACTAGGCATACAACCTTCTTTGTGAGAATTGAAAAAAATAGTCATATGTTCTGTCCTGTGGTTCAAGTGAGGAAACCATTTCAGGAAAAGATGAACAGTTGTATGATAGGTGAAGCCTGAGCTAACACAAAGTTTGGCATATAATGTGGAAACAACCACCTGTGGTTACAGTTACCCCTGAAGAATGCTTTATTGTGCCCACAAGTCTCCCAGCGCTGGGTGGACCTCCATTATGGGAACCGCCTGCCAGAAACGAAAGGCCAAGCTGACTGCAGTGTGGGCCCCTGTTAGCAGGAGTGAGTCGATGTGGCTGGATGGATAGATGGGTAGTTGGATGGATGGATGAGTGGTGGGTGGATGGATGGATGAATGGATGGATGGATGGAATCCAGATACAGAACTCCTCCTCAGTGGGGAAGGCGAGGGGCTTCCAGCACGGGAAAAACAACTTGAATTTTCACAGAGGGACCCATGGGTCCTGACTCCAGTGCCCCCCTGACTCTGGGGCCACACTTTGTAGAGTGGCCTTGAAAACCCACCTCCACCTTCATCATTTGTCCCTCTCTGTCATCTTTCTCAGTTTCTGCCTGCCTGTCTCTTTCTCTGCCTGTCCCTGTGTCTCTGTTTCAGTCTTTCTCCCCGTATCCCGTGTCCTTTTGTCTCCACACCTCTGTCTGTCTCGGTCTCTCATCCCCCACCTGTACCACTGTGTCCCAGGGAGTTAGAGTCCCGTGCACGCTGCAGCCATCAGGGCACGGAGGGGTGAGGAGCCAGTGGGCAAATGTGGGAGTCCATGGGCGAGGGGCTGAAGCAGGTGGAAAGGGCTTCCCCTGCATGTCCCAGGCCACTGGGCGGTGGGCACAGGGAACATGTGGATATGGGCACCCCAGCAGCCACTAACGCCACCCTCCCTCCTGCAGACCAGCTCATGGCCCCACCTGCCAGGACCCGACCCAGATGTGCAGCTTCTCCCAACATCCTGTGGCCACCAGGAGGCCTCCCTGTGCTCCTCCGTCACCTGGATAAATGACTGCCTCCCAGCTCTGCTTGTCTGTCTGGGAGAGGGACGTCACACAGGGAGGGGTGTGGGGAAGGCCCAGGTGCACGAGGTCACATCCACTTGCTCTTGACGATCCCAGAGCCCCTGGAGACGTAGGAGCCCAGCTCCACCAGGACCCTGAGCCCAGGCTCATCCTCTCCATCCGGAGGGGGCTCCCTCCACCCAGGCCTCTCTGTTTGTTCGATGCCCTTCGAGAAGCAGACAGAGGGACAGATTAGACTTGCAGGATATTTACCAGGGGGGAAACTTTGGGAGGGGAGGTTGGTGTGGGTCTGAGGCTGAGAAAGGACAGGTGGAAGGAAGGAGGGTCAGGGTTGAGATGGGACGTAAAGTGTAACACACTTCCGAGAAAATCTCTGCCATGCTGCTGGGGGTCTGAGAGCTGAGCTTGTCAGCTGGAGAGGCTCATGCCCTGCAGAGGCCCCCACCGTGCTCAGACATTGGGTGGGAAGCGTGGCAGATGCTGGTTGGGGGGGACACATGATACCATGGTGGGTATCAGAGGCTGTCAGGCGGTGGTGCTTCCCCCAGGAAAAGAGCTGAAGGCTACAGCCCCTGGCTGAAGCACGCCCCCCAGCCCAGCCCAGCCCAGTGCAGGCCACCCCCAACCGCCTCATTTCAGATCCCCTCAGTCCAGAACCCCCCACCATTCAGCCCAGGCCCCCAAATCAGCCTGGGAGGCCTCATCAGTCCCGGTTCCCTCTGCTCACATCCTCCCCACTTCCCTCCGACAACTCATTCCAGCCCTACTCAGTGCATGCACCTGCTAGTCACAGCCCAGGCCCCACACTCACCCACCACCCTACCCAAGCACACTCATCATACCTATGCCCCCTGCCTCCAAGGGCTCATCCACCTTCGGCTCCCATGGCTCTCAGAAAAGAGACCATGAGTCTATACGCTCTATCTTTATTTCTATTTTTATTTTTTAAGATTTTGTTTACTTATTTTTAGAGAGAGGGGAAGGGAAAGAGAAAGCATGCCCCACAGAAGACCTGGCCCCGCAACCCATGCATGGGCCCCGACTGAACCAGCAACGCTTTGGTTCCCAGTCCCATGCTCCATCCACTGAGCCACACCAGCAAAGGCTATCTTTTTTTAATTTTTATTGACGATTTTATTTATTAATTTTTAGAGAGGGGAAGGGAGGGAGAAAGAGAGGAAGAGAAGCATCAATGTGTGGTTGCCTCTCGTGCGCCCTCTACTGGGGACCTGGCCTGCAACCCAGGCCTGTGCCCTGACTGGGAATCAAACCAGTGACGCTTTAGTTTGCAGGCCGCCGCTCAATCCACTGAGCCACACCAGCCAGGGCTATATGCTATATCTTTATTGAGGGGTCCCCCCAGAGGCACCCCTAATCTTCATCCTCCCCTTCTGTTTCTTCACCCCCTTCGGTGCCCCCTGAGTTGTCCAGGGTACTCCTCAAAGGAAGAGTGTTTGATGCGCTGCCCATGGAGGCCTTTTTCTTGTTCCGACTCCCCTGGTCCTGGGACGACAGAGACACGGCCCTGGACGATTTGCCTTGGCCCTGCAGGAACCCGGGGAGGCGCAGCATATCCTGTTTCTCAGCCCACCTGCCCGGAAGGGGAGACACTCGGCCTTAGCCTATCCACCCGCTCCACTGGGGGGCCCCGGAACCCACCCGAGCCCCGAGCCCACTTGCCAGAACAAGATGATGCTGCAGATCAGGAAGAGAAGGCCTGCGCATGACCAGCTCAGCGCCCACATGTGTTTCCACCGCAGGTTTTCTGGACAGAAAGTGCAGACCTTTGAGACTCAGGGGCCCCCAGTTGCCAGCCTCCTCCCCTGGCAGGGTGGGGGTGGGGGGGGCGACCCTGTCTTCCAGGTTCTCACCATCTAGCCGCTGGTGGTAGCAGAACCCGTCTCGGTAGCAGCATCGTAGACGCAGACAGAGATTGGGGTTCTTGATGGCCGCCTGACCCCCACAGCTCTCCCGGTCTCCTGGGTCTCCTTCACAGCCTGGGAACCGACCATGAGTGGTGGTGATGTCTCAGAGCCTGGCCCTCAGGGCCATGGACACCAGCATCCCAAAGCCAAGCTCTGCAGGCTGACTGCCTAGTGCTTGCTCTGTGCAGACCCAGGAGTCCAGGCCCCCAGCCCTTCCTCCCTCAGACCCAGGAGTCCAGACCCCCCAGCCCCTCCTCCCTCTGACCCAGGTGTCCAAGCCCCCAACACCCCCCTCCCTTTGGACCCAAGAGTCTAGTCTGGCCCTGAGGACCCAGGATTCATCCACTGCTCACTCCACGGATAGAAGAACCCCTGGATGCCATTCCCATCTGTGAAGGAAAATAGATGGTATCAGGCGCGGTCAGGAGGGTGAGGAAGCCCCCTGCTCAGCTCTCAGACCCTCTCTCCGGGGCCCCTCACCTACTGAGCCCTGCATCAGCAGGAAGAGGCTCAAAGCTGGGATCCCACAGCCCACCATGTCACCTCCTCAGACCCCTGGGGCCTCTGTGATGACAGACCTTGAGGGCCATCCCCCAGCAATCAGGGGGCCCCGCCCGCTCGCCCGCCCAGCCCCCAGGATTCCAAGTTCTGTTGCTGTGGAGCCCCCTTAGCAATGAGAAAGAAGGAAGGGGGTGTCACACTGGCCCTGTCACGCCCAGTTGGTAGGGAGTTGCTTTCTTAGCAACCAGGTGGAAGGGGCTTTGGAGGTGGGGTGGGGGCCTGGCTAGAAGAGCCTCCTTAGTGACCTGCATGGAAAGTGGGTGGGGGTCCCAGGCCTCCCCTCCTCACCCACCAGGGGACTGAGGGGTGGGTACCCCAGTCCTTGCCAGGAAACTCCTCTGTTAGTGACCTAAGGCCTGCAAGCAGCTCTACTTTGCAGGCCTTATTGCGGAGGGTCTTTCCCCTAGTCAGCAAGGGCAAGAGGGCCTGAGGCTCAGAAGGCCTCCCTGGGCCCCACTGCTCAGGAGAACCCCCTGGCAGCCAGGGGCCTAGGAGGGCAAGGAGACAGTGTAGGGGTCGGGCACTTCTCAGGAGTCTCCTGGTTCCGGGGGCGGTCCAGGCACCTGGGGGGAGAGCATGCAACCAGAGTGGTTGGATCCATGCCTGTCGCCTGTCCGGTAGATCTGAGGGCCCAGGGATGAGGGGGTCTCACAGACAGGGAGAACTTTTGCCCACCTAGGCCTGTCTCCCCACCAGCCAATGGGGAAAGGGGTCCAATTAAGATCCTCAAACCCCTGGCTTGGTGTCTGTCCTTCAGTGGGGGGAGGGGCACGCAGTCCCCAGTGCTTCCTGAGTGAACCCCTACTCACCTTTGCAGCACAGGGAGGAGGGTGCTGAGACCTGGGGGAGCGAGTCTTTGTGTCCATGCTCCTGCGTCCCAGGGAGAAGGGACCTGGGGGGCCTGGACACCTGGTTTAGAGGGAATGGGGGGCAGTCAGGACTCCCGGGTCTGGGAGAGGAGGGGGCCAGGAAGGGGCTTTGAGGGCGACTGTCCAGGAATCCAGACCTTACTTCTCGGGAAGCCCCGTGGGGCTGGCTGCATTCTGTCATCTGTAAACATCCTGGTGGGAGCTGAGTGGGCCCCGGGCTACCTCCGTCAGAGATGACACAGGTCAGAGGGGGCTCGGCAGGGGGCGGGGGGTGGGGGTCAGTGGGGTTGTGGGGCTGAGGCCGGGCAGCTGCTGACCGTTTCCTGTGTCAACATCATCTGGACCCACTTCCAATTCCCGGGATTCCTCAGGGATCAAGGAGGGGGTGGGGGTGGGGCTGCCTGGCCCTGGACCGCGGCTTGGGACTGGGGGGGGGCCCCACCGTCACGGCCCTCACCGCTAATGACAGGTTTGGGCTGCCTCTGCGGCTCGCCTGCCCCGTCACCCCCCAGAGGCCAGACAGGACCCCCCAGGGACAGACAGACGGACACACACACAGAGCCTGGGACCTGCTGACCTCACACCAGCCAGCCCCGCCTCGCCTGGGGGCCAGCACATGAGCAAGGACCCTGGGCTCCCTCCCCACGTCCCCGTGGCATCTTCCCGCCACATCATCCGAGACCACCCCTCAGAGCCTCAGGCCCCTGTCTCCCCAAGTGTTGCGTCTCAGCCTCCGAGCTTGTCTCTCTGCATCTCCGGGTTTTCCTGTTTTGGCATCTCTGCCTTTTTCTCACCCTGGGTCACTGTGCTCTGTCTCTATTTCCGCTTGGCATCCGCATCCTCTCTCACTGTTTGGGATTCCCCAGTCCTGCCTCTCTCCTCGCCCTCCTTTCCACAGAAGCAGCCTGAGTGTCCCCCACCCTGAGGAAGACCCACAGATCCTGAACAATATTCCCTTCCCGTCCTGCACCCACCCAGTCTCCCTCAGCCTCCTGGGCCACCCGGGGGAGGAGGACCCCACAGCCCTGAGGTGAGGGTCAGGCAGATGTGGAAACTGGCCCCAGCTGGGGACCACTGACCCGGCCCCAGGTTGCTGACCTCCCCCGGGGGAGCATCCCTAAAATTGCACTGTGGCGACACATTTGTGTCCACCTTTCTAGACGGTAGGGTTTCAGGCCTGGACTCCTGACACCTGGGTCTGAGAGGGGAGGGGCTGGGCCCCTGGACTCTGGGGGTCGATTCTGAGGACCATGGCTGGCACCCCGGGTTTCCTGTAGGTACGAGGGGCTGCTCTGACTAGATCCCCATCTTTGCTTTCACGTTTGCCCCAGGCCCAGTCCCCACTCCCTGAGGCCAGTCCATCCCCCAAGCTGGTGGCCTGAGTCACCTTGGCTGGCCCCCGCCGGTCTGGGGGGCGCTACGTCAGTTCTCCCCTCACTGACGCAGCCTTGGGCCCCCCACACTGACTCAGCCGGAAGCAGGCCCCCTGAGGGGTGGAGACCCAGTGGTCAGAAGCCTGGGTCCCAGGGGGTGCAGGGGCTGGGGTGGGCCCCTGGGGGGCCGTGCAAGGGGTGGCCATGACCAAGAGAGAGAGAGAGACAGGGCGCGTGCGTGCTTACCTGAGGCGATGAGGTCATGTCCCACCATGGGGGGGCTGTGACCTCACCTCCCTGGGGACCTCAGCAGTTGCCCCCCCCAGTGGTGGGGGATGACTCCAGCTGCCATTCATCCCCAGAGCCCCCCTGCCGGCTCAGCACAGACTGGGGGCGGGGAGGGGGTTCTGCAGGGAGACCTCTGGAAGGGCTCGGCACCTTTTGTCTTCTCACTTCCATCGCATCTCTCTCTGCCACCCTTTGGGGGGTGGGGGAGGGCGGGATGCTCCTGGGGACCTGGGTTCTGTGTCAGCCCCTCACTGGCTCTGCCTGGAACCCCGCTGGCAGGCTCCACTGCCCCGCGCACCTGGCGCTCACCGCCTGTGTGCCTGCACCAGCATCTCTGGCCCCTGAATGCCTCTCCCTCTCCTGCTCTCATGCCTCTCCGGTCCCCATCTCTGTGCAGTGTCCCCTTCGCAGGGCCACTCTCTGCACGTTTCTCAGCGGCCACGTCACATCCCCTAATGGCTACATCTTTCTCTCTCGTCGTCTCCCTGAACGTGTTAATAAAAACCAACAAACACAGCCATGTTCGCATTTATTGAGAGCTGATCGACCAGGGGCTTTCTCTACTTGAGTGAGCTCACTCTGTCCCTACTGAGGCATCTGAGGGTTTCGGGGGGGGGGTACTCAGCTATCCCCAATTTCACAGGGAAACTGGGGGCACAGAGGGGGTGAAGCCTCAGGGCCTGAGGTCCCACCTCTACTGAGTGTCTCACATCTCTCTTGCTCGGTCCCCTGTCGTCTGTCTCCGGTTCTCTCTCACCTTCCTGTCCCTACCTACCACCTGGAGAAAGGCTCTCCCTGTGCCCTGTCCCCGTTACTGACTCCCGACCCTGACTCTTTCTGTGACGTGGAGCCTCTTTCTCTTTGCTACTCTGACTTGGTGTCTCCGTTTTCCCCTGTGAGTGTCTTCTGGGCCCTGGTCCCCCCCCCCAACCTCTCTCTCTCTCTCTCTCTCTCTCTCTGAGATGCCACTGTGTCTCTGTCCCTCTTCCTCAGGGGGTCACTGTGGGTCTCTCCAAATCTCTCACGGTGCCACCTTCCTCTCTCTCTCTCTCTGATGGCTGACCCCGAACCTCTCCTCTGGAGTCCCCCTCCCCCGCCTCCTCTCTGCTCCATGCTGCTCAGAGGCAGCGTGTCTCCGGGCTCTCTCCGTGGGTCTCGCTCTATTACTGCATTCAGACTCTGCCTCTGGGCCCCAGTGACCCCATCTGTCTGTGCGTCTCTTGTGTCCTGGCTGGGCCTCAGTTTCTCCAGTTCTCTCCCTCTCTCTGTGTCCCCCGAAGCGGCTCCCCCCACCCAGAGCCTCCATTTCCCCAGGCCCGCCCCGTTGTTCAGTTGCCCGTTATCCCCCCGAGACCCCCATCCCTCTGCCTGTCCTGGTCCAGCGGGACCCCCACCCGCAGCCGGGCCCCAGCCCTTGGGCCGCATGTGTCTGCCCCAGCGGCGGCGGCCGGGCCGAGGAGGTGGAGGGAGGGGACGCCAATGACCTCACCAGCCCCTCTCCGACCACCCCCCCTTTCCCTTTCAACTTTTCCAACTTTTCGTTCCGTGCCCTCCTCCGAGCGAGGCGGCGTGAGCCCTGCGAGGCAGCCGGCTCCGTCTGAATGGAAAAGGGAGGCAGGGAGGGTGAGTCAGGATGTGTCAGGCCGCCCTCCCCTGCCGCCTGCCCCCCGCCCGCCCGCCCCGGCCCCCTATATAACCCCCCAGGCGAACGCACTCCCTCACTGCCGAGGCCCTGGCTGCTCAAGCACATGCCTCCCCTCCCCAGGCCGAGGCCCAGCTGACCCTTGGGGCTTCCCCGGCAGAGGACAGGGAAGGGTTAAAGGCCCCCAGCTCCCTGCCCCCTGCCCTGGGGAACCCTACCCTGTGGGGACATGAACAGTAAGTTGGTTCAAGTTCATGGGGTGGGGGGGAGCAGGGAGGGAGGAGGGTGGGACCTTTGGCGGGAGGGTGGGGAGCAGACAGACAGCGGAATGGGACACCGAGACAGGAGCGAGAGGGAGCGATGGGGAGGCAGACGAGGAGAGGAGGGCAGAGTCTGGGAAAGCCGGCAACCTGGAGCGGGACGGGCGAAGGGAGCCACGAAGGGACAAGGACTCGGGGACATCGAGAAATGGGGACACACAGAGACAGAGAGACAAACGCAGCGAAGTGACCCCAAAGGGCCCAGGACGCCTAAGGAGGCAGCGGGGACCAGAGATGTACACACCCAGGGACCCCAACAGAGGCTGCACTGGGGAAACTGAGGCAGGGGGCCCAAGGAGGTGAGAGCCAGGAGCAGGAGGAGAGACGGAGAGGCAGGGGTGCAGACAGAAATGGGGAAGACAGACGGGTGCCGACGGACCCACGGACAGAGAGCGGCGGGAGCAGCTCGGGGGGCGGGCTGGGGGTGTGCGGCGGGAGCGGGGCAGCCCGGGGGGCGCTGATTGGCTGTGGGAGGTGGAGGGCGGGGCCCGGGGGGGATGGGCGGCCGGGGAGGCAGCGGCCGGAGCCCCAGCGCCGCGCCGCAGCGCCCCGCTCTCTGGCCCAGGTGTGCCGGGGCATCCCGCACCGCGGCGGGAGCATCGCGGCGGGAGCATCACGGCCCTCCTCGGGAGCGTCTCCGGGAAGGGTCTAGGGCCTCCGGGTCTCAGGCCGGAGCTCCCTCCCCTGCTCTCAGTCCGGCCCGGGGTTCCCGGGGCCCCGGGAGGGGGCAGGTTCTGGCCTGTGCCTCCCCCTCACGCCCCGCCCCGGGGCCCAGATTCCGGCGTCCGGGGGCGGACGGGAGACGCCCGGCCCGTCTACCCGCCCGGGGCCGCGTCTGCTCCGACGGGCGGGGCAGCCAGAGCTGGAGAGGGAGAGGGAAGCCCGCCCGGGCCGGCAACCAGCCCTGGGCGCTCCGCCCTGGGACGTGAGACCCCCAGCCCTCTTCTCTCGGACCAAACGTCCCCCCTGAGCCTTCTGCCTCCTCTCGCCCGCAGGTGTTTGCTGCCTGGTCCTGGTCGCGCTGAGCCTGTGGCCAGAGAGAGCTGCTGCCCCAGGGCCACCTCCTGGACCCCCGAGGGCTTCCCCAGACCCTCGGGCTGAGCTGGACAGCGCCGTGCTCCTGACGCGCTCCCTCCTCGCGGACACTCGGCAGCTGGCCGCGCAGCTGGTAGGAGAGACTGGAGAGGATGGGCGGGAGACCTGGACGAAGACTGAGACTCGGGCAGTATCTGGGCTTCCACGGTGGCACAGATGGGGCGGGGAGCGGGGAGAAGGAGTTTGAGGCCTGCGGTTGGGGGGTGAAGGGACCCCCAGAGCTGGGCAGGGTCCCCCTCATCGCTTTTTCCCCCCAGAGAGAGAAATTCCCAGCCGACGGAGACCACAACCTGGATTCCCTGCCCACTCTGGCCATGAGTGCAGGGGCACTGGGAGCCCTGCAGGTGAGAGCAGGGAGGAGGGACGGGGTGCAGATGGGAGCTGAGCCTTGGAGGGGGTCCGGGGGTGTTGGGGGACAGCAGGGACACATGCTCGGCACTGCTGACAAGCCCCATGCCCCGTCGTCCCCCAGCTCCCGGGCGTGTTGACACGACTTCGGGCGGACCTGTTCTCCTACCTGCGGCACGTGCAGTGGCTGCGCAGGGCAGGAGGCCCGTCCCTGCGGACCCTGGAGCCAGAGCTGGGGGCCCTACAGGCCCGGCTGGACCGGCTGCTGCGCCGGCTGCAGCTCCTGGTAGGACGTCCCTGCTCAGAGCCCTCTGCCCTGTGTCCTCAGGATCCTGTGGTCCTGAGGCCCCCAACTCCAAAATCCTGCCTGAAAATTCTCTTAATCTCATCTCAAAAACTCAGAGACCCCACAATCTCATGACCCCAAAACTCCCGCTAAAACTCTGAAGCCCTAAGACTCAGCAGTCCAAACCCTCCACCGTGACGCGGAGTCCCTGGCCCCAAGACAGCACATTCCAGAACCTGATCCCCGGAAACTCTGAACCTCCAGACCCTGAGATTTCCAGATCCTAACATGACACAGTAGAGACCCTGACTTGAGTGAAGCCCAGAGCTCAAGCACCCAGACTCTGAGGTCTGAAATGATAAGCCCTACCTCCCAAAGACTTCAGATGCTGGTTGTGAGCCCATGAGGCCCCAAGATCCTAAGTTCCAAAGCTACAGACTTAAGACTCTAAGACCCCTGGGCCTGAGTCCCCAAGACCCTGGACCTCAAATTCCAGCTCCCAGTTCTGAGACCCCACACTTGAGAAGCCAGGCCTCACCTGTGAGTTCTTGAGATCTCAGGTCACAGCCCGGAGATCCGGGCCTTGCCCCAGGCGTGAGTCCGCAGTGCCCAGCCCTCACCCAGCACCAGGGTCTTAGCCCTGACCCTACAGACCTCCCCCTCGACCCCCAGGCCATGACCCTGGAAACCCTCCCCATTTGGGCACAGCCTCCATTTTCTGAACTCCCTACCCAGGCACCCACCCTGTAGGCCAGAGACACCCTGGAAATACACAGCCTGGACGACCCCGCACCCCGCCCCCCCCAGCCTGATTGAGCAGAGGCTCTGAACACCCCTTCCTGGACCCTCCCACCCCTCGCTGCACCCCTGGCCTGTTGCTAACTCTCTGTCCTCTCCCAACAGATGTCTCGCCTGGCCCTGCCCCAGGCGCCCCCAGACCCACCGGCGCCCCCGCTGGCCCCACCGGCCTCAGCCTGGGGAGGCATCAGGGCAGCCCACGCCATCCTCGGAGGGCTGCATCTGACGCTGGACTGGGCGGTGCGGGGCCTGCTGCTGCTGAAGACCCGGCTGTGACCCGCCATCCGGAGCAGCCGCATCCTTCACCGCCAGACCTTATTTATTTATTTATTTTGGGACTGGGGGCGTGGCCGCCAGAGGACCCCCCCCTCCCTATTATCTCCCCCTAGTTAGAGATAGTCCCCCTAGGAGACCTGGGCAGGGACACCTGTGCCTTATTTATACTTATTTATTTCAGGAGGTGGGCGGGAGGCACGTGGGCTCAGGGGCCCCGGCAGGAGGGGGCTGGGGTCCCGGATTCTTGGCTCTCTGAGAAGTCTGGCCACAGTGTCTCCATGGCCCCCACTCCTCCGGGCCTAAGCAGGAGCATATGTTATTTATTAAACTATTACTTTTTGTGTTGGGGTGGGGAGGGAGGGGGAAGGAGGCATGGGTTTTTGTATAAAAACGTGAGAAACCTTTTGTGAGATGGAGAAGGAGGAATTAAATTTGTTATACACATCCACTCAGAGGCTATTTCTATGGGGGTTCAGGGCATGGGGCTGGACATCAGGGCCCCTGGGCAAGGAAGAGGGAGGGACCCCGAGTGACCAAGACCATGGAGGGGAGGCCACCAGGGCCTCAGGGACCCTGAACCCTGAGGGGCAGGGTCTGGGCCTCACCTGGTGCTAGGCATTTTGTAAGCATTCAATAAATATTGAATGGAAAACTCTGGAAGGTCACCCAGTGACCAACAGGGCTCATTTGGGGCAAAGCTGGAAGGGGAAGCTTGTCCCCGGTGGCAGAGTTCACACCAGCAAGTCGGAAACAACCTAGATGTCCACCCGTGGGAATGGCTCGGGAAGTCAGAGTGCATCCTAGAGGGAGCTGCAGAGGCTGCTTTGGACGCAGGAAGAGCAGGCTGCAAACCACAGCATGACCCCCATTTTGTGTTTCTCTGTATATACGTTTAAAAAAAAATCCTAGGAGGAACTATACCAAAATGTTGACAACGACTGCCTCCAGGTAGAAGGTGTGGGGTGGTATTGTTGGTGACTTATTATGTGTGCTTGTAATCTCCAGAATTTCTAAAAGTGACCATGTATTTTGCATGACACATTGTTAAAAAATAATAAACACTATTTTTAAAATGACCGAATACCAGTCCCTTCCCCACCCCCGCCAAAAAAAAAAGCTCTCAGAATGGGACAAGAAGGACTGTTCATTGAGCACCTGTTCTGGGCTGTGCCTGAAGTTGTAGGGTTTTACTTACATGATCCCCTGGATCCTCACTATACCCCATTTTACAAATGAGGGGAACTGAGGCTGAGAGGATGCCTGGTGCTCAAGGTCACACAGCTCGGGAGACAGCTGTGATTCTGCCACAAGTCCGGCTCATTGCCAAGGGTGTGTTCCTTTCTTTCTAATTCAACAGACAGCAGCTGTGACCATGGACACAAACGCATTTGATATGGGGAAACTGAGGCTCCGTGGGGGTATGGTTCTTACTCAGGTGTAAGGGTCAGTCATGGGTGGTGGCTGTATTTGGAACTCTCTCTTAAGAGTCAGAAAACCAACTCAGGTAGTGTGGGTCAATGGATTGAGCGCCGGCCTGTGAACCAAAGAGTCGCTGGTTCCATTCCCAGTCAGGGCACAGGCCTGGGTTGTGGGCCAGGTCCCCAGTAGGTGGCGCTTGAGAAGCAACCACACACTGATGTTTCTCTCCCTCTCTTTCTCCCTCCCTTCCTCTCTCTAAATAAATAACATCTAAAAAAAAAGAAGAATCAGAAACCGTTTGTTTAACCATTCATTTGCAACATCTCAGATGGACTTTTCCAGGGGGCCCTGGGTCTGGAGGGGGACCTTCCCAGGGGGCCAGTCTGAGTCTAGAGGGGGACCTTCTGGTTCACACCCACTCCTCAGGGCTCCAGGCCACATCCCCAGAGAAGAAAGGAGCCCATGGCCCTCGGGAGAGTTCCTAGGAAGAGTTCCATGTGTATCTGATGAGGTCACAAGGCCCCTCCACGGAAGGCTCCTCCCCCAGGCCAGGGAGACTGCCCCTGGCAGGACCATGGCCAAGCCCTGGGGAAGCTGAGCTTGAAGCCAGGGCCAGTGGGCTGGAGGGTGCCAGGTCCCTGACTCCATGCCCTGGGTGACCCCCCCTTTATGTAGCCACCATGAACAGGCTTTGGAACATCAGGCACCTGGACCCATTGCCAGGCCCCCCGCAGTGGGTCCCCATTCTGGGCCAGCTGCAGAAGACCCTCCAGAAGGGCGAGTACCTGCCCCTCTGCCCGCTGCCCATGTTCGAGAGTAACTTTATCCAGGTTTCCAGCTCCCTGTGCCCTGGGGCAGAGAGGGGCAGAGTGAGACCCCTGGGGCTGGCGGGGTTGGGGCCACTGGGGACTCAGAGGGTGGGGGCTTGGTCTGGGGGTGCCTTGAAACATTACAGGAAGGAGTGGTTCCAGCCCTTCTCCCTGGCCCCCCAGGTGACCAGCCGAGGGGCCCCCGTGTATGTGCACCACAAAAGCAACCACTTGACCATGGGTGTGGCCGCTTCCCTGCCCGGCCCGGTGCTGCCAGACCTCCTGCTCATTGCTCGGCCCTCTGAGGCCAGGGACTGCTCCAACCTCGTCCTCACCAGGTGCCTGCACCCCTCCATCCCCTGCCGCCCCCACCTGCATCTCCTGCTCTACCTCCCCCGTCTCCTGCCTCCACCAGGATGATCCCGCTGGACCTGGTCCACCTCTACGTCCACAACCTGTCTGCCTGGCGCCTGAAGCTTTGCTTGATCACAGGCCGCTACTACTACCTGGAGCTGAACGCCCCCGACAGCGAGGTGGCATTTCTGTTTGACCGCTGGATCCGGCTCATCCACCTGCTCCAAGAGCCCGCCACCTTCTGGGCCCCAAGGACCTTGAAAACGCCCCTCTCGGACCTGGCCCAGATGGCACCTCCTGCCTCCACCTGGACCCTCCAGGTGGGGGCATGCTCACACAGACCCCAATGGGCAGTGATGGTTATAGATTCAAAAGGGAGCCAGGACAAAGGACCTGAAGTCCAGGATCCCCAGGAATGGGGCTGGGGGCCTGGACTCCTGGGTCTGAGGGAGGAGGGACTGGGGGCTGGAGTCCTAGACTGGGTACTCATGGAGATGTGGAAGCCAGGAAGAGGTTGCCCCTCCTGACTGTCTCTTCTCCATCCACAGGACCAGTCCCACTGCAGACGATCAGGTGAGCAGGCTCTGGAACCCACTGGGTTTGCTGCACCTCAGCTTCTCCTCTGCCACACGTGGATGGGGCCTCCAGCACTGGGGTCCTTAAGTCTTCCATCTGCCCCCTGGCAGAGCCTCCCACCAGTCTCCTCTCCCAGTGTCCTTCCCAGACTCAGGGGCCCTGACTCAGGTCTTCCCCTCTCTTTTCAGCCATGACTGTTAAACCCAGCTTTTCTTACAAGATGCTGACATCTCAGAAACGGAGGAAGGCCAAGGTGAGCAGACCCCGGCAGGCCCCTGGGTGAGGGGCCCAAGGCCAAGGGGCTGTGGCTCCTGATGGCCCTGCCTTCCTCGTCCTTCTGCCAGACCCCCAGGTGCAAACTCAAGTCCCAGGCTGTGGGTGACTCCGTGCCTCTCATCTGGTCACAGCCAGAGCACCCTGGTACCAGGAAGAAAGCCACAGAGAAAAAGTAGGCTTGGGACCATATCCCCGGTGGGGTTGGGAGAAGAGTGGGGACACCAGCCAAGTCCCACCACACTGTGCCTGCAGGTCCCACCCAGAGCTCGGCCTTCACGGCTCTCAGACCAAAATCCAAGTTTCTGGTGAGCACACCCCTCCCTCTGATTCTGTGAATGAGCCCCACAGCCCAGCCCCTCCCCTTCATGCTCAGGCTGCTTTCTTCCCGCCCAGGGAAGCCCAGCATCACCATCCGGACCATCTTCAGCATCGTGTCCAGAACCGTCAACCACAGGCTGTCCTCTTCCAAGGCAGGCTATACACTGGGGCCTGAGCCCAGCTCCTGGGTCTGAGGGAGAAGGGGCTGGGGGCCTAGACCCCTGGGTCTGAGGGAGGAGGGGCTGGGGGCCTAGACTGCCAGGTCTGAGGGAGGAGGGGCTGGGGGTCTGGACTCCTGGGTCTGAGACAGGAGGGGCTGGGGGCCTGGTCTGTGTTTGAGAGGCGCCCCCCAGGCCCTGACCATTCTTCCCCTCACCTTCCTCCACTGTCCCTCATCTTCCTCCACTTCCTCCAGGGTCATTCAGAATCTGATGGAGCAGTGGTCCTTGGCCATTTAGTGAAGACCCCTTCACATTGTATCTCAGAGAACAGTCCCAGTATTTCCTTGCTGGTTTCCTACGATCACGTGGATATTAGACAGAACATGCAAGACCTGTCGGACCTGGATTCCAGCACCTTGTCCTCCGACTCCCTCGGCCAGGACTCCTACTGTCCCAGCTTCTACCTGCCTGCCCCCTACTCGTCTGCCCCCAGGCACAAGATGACCACGCCTCCACCCTCCCAGAAAACCCCCTCTGTCCCTCCCAGCTCTTGGAAGGAGCCATCCATCCTTGACCACGCCCAGAAGGTCTCAGCTGTGCCTGCTTCATCTCGGAAGTCCCCAGCTGGGCCTTCTGCTCCCCAGAAGACCCCAGTTCCAGCCCCTGTTCCCCAGAAATCCCCAGCCATACCTGGCTCATCCAGGAAGACTTCATGTGTGCTGGCTATAACCCAGAAGGCCCCAGCCATACCTTCCCTGTCTTGGAAGAACCCACTTGTATCAGGGATCCCCCAAAAAGCCATGCCCTGTCCTGTTCCAAAACAGCAATCTCTGTTCCCATCTAGCCCATCCCCGAAGGCTCTGACTCCACCCGCCCGATACCGGATGATGCCGGACCCTGGCGATTTTGGCTCGTCTTCGAGGGGAAGACGTGTTGAGAATGTGCTCGAGAGAAGCCAGCCAGAAGGGAAGATGGAGCCGTTGGTGCTGGTGGGCACCCAGGAGACACAGGTTGCAGAGATGTGGGCCCAGAAAATGTCCCTGGAGCTGCCCTTCCATACCACCCAGAAGGAGACCAAGGGGCTCGTAATCAGCAAAGCCCAAGAGATCACCCAGGATGGCTTGAAGGGCAAGGGCAAGGGCAAGGTGGAGGATAAGGTCCACGGGACAATGGAGGGGAAATCCCCGGACTTGCCTGGCTTCAAGCCCAGGCTGAGGGGGCAGCAGCAGACGTGGGCTAAGACCCAGGAGCTGGCCGAGGAGGGAGCCCCACAGGAGCGCAGAAGGCCCTTCTCTGTGAAGGAGCTCACCTTTGCCAAGATGGTGATCCTGGCCAACTCCGAGAAGATGCCCTTGAGACCAGAACTGGTTGGTTTGCCTTCCTGGCTCTTGATCCCCCAGGTGTCTGCCAGGCCCATGGTGGGCCTGGAGCCCCTCATCCCTGGCCAGGCTACCGTGTTGGAGGGCACACCAGTGGTGGACAGGGAGGTGGAGAAGCTGTTCTCAGACCAGAGGCGGTCTTTCAAAGTGCCCCCCCGCTCTAAGCGTGGCCCCAGCAGCCTGAAGACAGAGAGAGTATCCCAGGCCCCCATTCCTCTGCCCGCAACGAGGTGGGAGGAAGTCCAGCCCCCCATCTTGCTGAACTCCATCCCAAAGATGGAGGCCAGAGTGTCCCAAAAGCCCAACAGAGAATCTCAGGAGACCGTGGGGATGCCAGGCCCATGTCCCCTGGCCACTACGGGATCATCCTTGGAAGTTCCTGTGCCCAAACTCATGGAAATTGAGAATAAGAGGGACTTGCTGAACAAGGTGGAGAAGACAAAGAAAAAACTGAGTATCTTCACGCCTTGGCCCAGGTACTTGGGGAGAAAGGACCTCTGGGGTTATCAGCAAGAAGGTGACGCGTGGCGGGGAGGAAGACCTGCATGGGGCAGGCTTAGGGAGTGCAGAAAGCAGAGACTCCTCATGCTGAAAACCCTTTAAAACATGATACTCTGTGAAAGGAGCCAGGCAAACATGCCAGCTATATAGTGCATGACCCCACGTGTGTCAAATGTCTAGAACAGGCAAACCCATAGACACAGAAAGGAGGTTAGTGGTTACCAAAAGCTGGGAGGGATGGGGGGATGGACAGGGACTGCTTCACCGGTATGGGGTTTTATTTGGGGGTAACGAAAATGCTCTGGCAGTAGATAGAGGAGGTGGTTGCAGGACATTGTGAATACAATGCCACTTTAAAGTGGTCACACTGGCAAATTTTATGTGATGTGTATTTTCCAATACACGGATACAAGAGAAGGGTAATCCAAGACTCGCTCTGTCCAAGGAGTTTGCTGGAAGGGGAGAGGCTGCTGTAATGGGACATGGTCAAAATAGGAGTTTTAAGAGGAAGAGAGATTCGTGCATTTGAATGTTGGGGTGAAGAATGCAGGGCCAGGCTTCATATTTGCGGAGAAAGAGGGCAAGAAACCTGGGAGGGACACGGGGGTGGGGAGGACTGGAGGCGGTGGGCTTGCCGGCTCCTGGAGCAGGAAGGAGTCGGTTCAACAGGTGTTTACTGAGCGCTCATTGCTCTCTCTCCAGCAAGCACCGTTCCCACAGGCTTCAATAGCAAGATGCGGGGACTGAACCGCAGTCACTAGCTAAAGTGTACAAGAGGAGCCCAGCGCGGGCGGCCGGGTAGCCCCTGACGCCCTCAGACCTGCCTCACACCTGGCACTGAATCCAGGCTCTGGAACCCCACTCGTGCTCTTTGCTCTTCCCCGCAGGCTCCAGGCGCCATGCCCCTCCACTGTGGGAAGCAGGGTGCTGAACAGGCCAGGCGTTGGGGGGCGGGGGGGGCGCGGAGCTCCCTGTCGGGTAGAGACCAGAGCTATCTATACATTTATATATTAGGGGGTGGGAGGGCGGGCTTGGGGAGAAACGGCGGGGTGGCCCAGCTTTGCAGAAATTAAAAGCCTGAGTCTGAGACTCGGCAAAAGTCGAGCCTGGGTGCCTGTGTGTGCGCACGGGGGGGCCCGGGATGGGGCGTGGGGCTGGAGGGGGGAGGGAGCGGGGGGAGGAAGGGTCCTCCCGGACCGTTTTCTGCAGCGCAGTGGCTCTCATTGGCTGGGCCTTCCAGAGTCCCAGCCAATAAGGCCCAGGGGTCGTGATTTTCCTCCGTTGAGACCCTCGAGACTCAGAAACGACGGGCACCCCGGACAGAGCCACAAGCACAGGGACGCGCTGACATCAGCCTAGTGAGGACAGGAAGGGTGGGATTGGGGCTGGGTTTCGGGGTGGGGATCAGGCACGGAGACCCTCCTGCCCGCAGGAGCTGCTGACTCAGTGCATGGTGGACAAGAAGCCCTCCAAGGGGCCATGGCCCACGCCACCTTTCGACCCGCGCTTCCCCAACCAGAACCAAACCCGCAACTGCTACCAGAACTTCTTGGGTGAGCCCTCAGGGGCAGGGGAGGGGGAGCGGGGTGAGGCGAGGGGCAGAAAGGGGCCCACCCCAACTTCAGAGGGGCCCGGGCCCTCCTTGGAAACAGAGACCGTTGGGGTGGGAGACGGGGCGAGCCGCGGTAGAAGGGGCGGGAATACCCTATGGGGCGGGGCCTTGCGTGGAGGGGGCGGGGATCTGTTCCTGGAGGGGCGGGGCGGTGCAGGGAAAGGCGGGGACTGGCCTCGGGTGGGCGGGACCGAGGCTGTGGAGGGGTGAGGTAGAGAGGGAGTTGGACTTGGCCAGGAAGGGAGTGGGACCTATCACGGAGGGGTGAAGATTGCTCGTTAGTGGGCGGGGCCTATTCTGGAGAGGTGGGGCGGGACGTGGGAGAGCATGGGTCTCGCAGGGAAGAGGTGGGACCGGATCTTGGAGAGGCGGGACCTACTCTGAGGGCACTTGACAAAGTAGTGTAGGGGCGGGAAAAGGAGAGCCAGGGTGTGGCAGGCAGGGGCGGGGCCTGGTCTGGAGTGGGTGGGGCGGACCAGGGCGGGCAGGGCCTGCGTTGGAACCGGTAGGGACTGACCACAAAGAAGCCGGGCTTGCCCTGGAGTGAAAAGAAGCGGGTGCGGTCGAGAGGGGCGGATCCTGGCCGGGGACGGGGCGTGAGGTGCGGCGGCGATCACCGCCGGGTCTCGCTCCGCAGACTACCACCGCTGCATGAAGAAGATGAACCGCCGCGGGAAGAGCGCTCAACCCTGCGAGTATTTCTTCCACGTGTACCGTTCGCTGTGCCCCATCAGCTGGGTGAGCAGGGCGCGGGGCGTGCGCTGATCAGGAGGGCCCGGGGGACGGTGGGCGTCCAGCCGAGCTGAGCCTGCGTCCCCGCCTCCCTCCCGCCCTACTTCAGGTGGAGCGCTGGACGGAGCAGATCAAGTCGGGGACCTTCCCGGGCAAAATCTGACGGTCTGAGCTCGCGGCTCCTCCGAGAGACCAGCCCCAGGCGCCCCCATCTCCTCGTCTCCCGGACACCTAGCCCCGGCTTCCCACCGCCAGTCTCTAAGCACCGAATAAAGCTATGCTGTTGCCTCTGTTTCTTCTTAATGTCTGCCCCGTGTGCCGTGGGGGCTCGGGAGAGTCCTCCCGGTGTCTGTGCCCTGGAGCCAACACTGCAGTTCTGAAGATGAGTTGGGGGGCTTGGAGGACTGTGCTCCATCCGGGCTGGGATGGAAGGAGCTCTATCAGACCCCTGGGGCAGGAGCAAGCCAGCCCCGCCCCCCCCTCCCCGCCCACCCGTAGGCAGCAGCCACCAGCTCAGGGTCGCCGTGGGCTCTCTGGATGCCAACGCTTGCTCACCAGGATGGCTCCAGGGTGCTCCTGCCTCTCAATCCCCACACCCACCTGTCACCAGAATCATCCTTCCTCAGGATCCTCTTCCTCTTACCTGGACCGCCTCCCAAACTCCTCCCAAGCTTTCTACCCCTCTGTCTCAGTCCATCCCCGTCCATCCCACCCCAAACCCTGATGGGGATCATTTTTGGACCTCCCAGCACTGACCCCCACACCCCCATCCCTTGGTCCCTTGCTCCGAACCCTTTCTAGACTCTGCCACCCTCCATCACTCCCCTGCCCCATGTGACTCCATTTCCCTCTCAGCACAGCTCAGTCCTGCCAGGTGAGCCAAACCTTCCTCACAGCCGCCCTCTGTCCCACGGGCAGGAGCACCCTTCTCCATTCTCTTAATGAAACAGGACGACCTGTCTCCGGACATGTCACCCCAGTCCCCCACTGCAGACCCCTTCCAGACTGAGCTCCAGGACACTCAGGGGGTCCGCCTGAATTACTCTCTGCTCCCGCCTCTTTGGACACTGGGCCTACCCTCAGCCAGGCTCTGAGACAACGATGCTGAGATTCCAGACAGCCCTCAAAATATCACCTCTCCAGCCACCTCCCCAGGCTGAGAAGTGACCCTTGACCCAGCACAGAGGAGAGTGGTCCTGCTCCAGACCACCAGCTTTCTGGGCATGGCAGGGTTGGATTCTACTGTTTCTGCCTAAAGCTGTCTCCTTCCTCAGGCATCCTGGGCCCCCAGCCTGAGGCTGTCTCAGGAAGACCCGGTCCACCCTGGAGTTCAAAGGTAGCTGTTAGGAATCATGACAACTTTCTGGGTAACCCTGGACACAAGCCTGTTGACCTACATACACCTTAGTTTTCTCGCTGTAAACCAGATAGTGCAGTCCCATGATCCCGCAGAGGGACCGTGGGAAAGGCTAGGTGAACTCAGGGGACAGCAGGCTCCATCCGGTCCCCTCGTCCCCTGGGCGTTCTCACCACCCCACCCAGGGCATGACCCAGACGTGCCCTCTCCAGGATGGCTCCACCCCAAGGCCTCGGCCCCTCAAGGATCCTCTCTGGGACCCTGCCTCTGAAAGGCAGGGGAAGAGGGAGGGCACGAGGTGTGCCCTGGCCCAAGCAGACCTGGACACTACAGGAGGGGTCCTCCCTGGAGGCCCCCCCACACAGAGGCTGCTGCACTGCCACAGGAAGGAAGCAAACGGTGGTACCATACCCCACAGGCCAGGCAGCTCTGAGTCACAGAACGGGGTGACGGTGTCTGAGCACTCGGTGAGGTCACTCAGGTAGCGTCCAGGCACAGGGCTGACTCCTATGCAGCCATGGCCAGCCTGCTGACCTCACCAGAGCACCTGTCTAGAGCTCATTTCACCCCGTTGGCCAGCAGCCCCTCCCAGCCTTCTTCCTTCTTTCTTTCTTGGGCTGGGGATCCTCCCACCACCATCCCTCGACCACTTGGCCACTTTGGGGGCATTTTTACACTCCTGTTTTCCCTGTGGCCACCACTGTCTTATGGATACCTGAACCTGGGCCAGACCCACCCAGCCCCCAGCCTAGCCTCCAGCCGGCTGGACCAACATGACTGCAAACTCCCAGCCCTGGTCTCTGGCTCTGAACACCCCTCCACAGCTCCTTGGCCAGCTCTGCCTACCACATGCTGAGCCTCCAATATCAGCCTCTGCGCCCCAGCAGCCCCCCAGGTCAGAGGAAACAAAAGGGCAAGCAATTTGCTCCCCATCCCACCTACCCTGCATCTCTGCTCTCCTTCCCACCTCCTCCCCCTCCCTCAGAGCCCATCCCCCACCTCCCTCCATCCCTCCCTCCCTCAGAACCAGCTCCTTCCTCTTAGTCTAGACGCTGGTGCCTCCAGGTGCTTCCCTGTTGGAACCATGAACCCACTCAGATGCCCTCTGCCCTTTGTTCCACAAACCCTCGCACCTCCCAGGCACCTGCTCGCCCTCTCTTCTTCCACCCACCAGCTAGCTGTCCCTTGGTTCCCAGTGGGCGCTGCTCCAGCCTTCCTGGTGTCTGCCCCTTTCCCAGCCTGAGGACTCCAGAGCCTGGATGATCTCTGGGAGGGGGTTCAAGTCCTAGCTCTGCAGCTTACCAGCCATGTGACCCCAGTCGGAGTTTCTAAGCCCGTGTCCCATGGTCCATTCATGTAAAATGGGTTTCCCAGGCACTGGGGTGGGTGGGGGAGAGGGTGGTGCTGTGAGTGTCCAGTCTCGCCGGGTATGTGGGGTCTCTGTCTATGCAAACAATCTGAGGCACTCAGCATCCATGTGACCAGTTCTGGTGCCCAATACGGCACTAGATAGTAGGGGTCACCCAGATGGCAGCCCCAGGGTGACTGACCCCATCAACTAGGTCCTGGAGCTCCTGGACGAGGCACAGGTGTAAAAGGGTCAGAGAGCCTTGGGTGGAGCGTGGGTGGAGGCCAGGCAGAGAGCCCTCCAAGAGGAGACACAGGGTCCAGGCTTGGGTTGTCCTGTCGCTGTCATTACTTTGTTTCTTTTGGCTCCCTCTTGCCTTTGCCTCCCAGCCACCTTCCTCGGTGACCTTGCTCCGGTCTCCACGTGTATGGTGGGTTCTCGATGACTTTGACCCCCACCCTTCCCTGGACTTGGGCCACCAAGGTGGGCTCCTGATGCCAAGCCTAGCTTCACCTGGATGCCCCCAGGTCCTGCCAGCTCAAGGGATTTGATGCAAACTCCTGGCACCGATTGCATTTGGGCGCCATCCACATACAAGCTGTGGGACCCTGGGCAGGCGCTGTTCGTAAGGGGGCAATCCTGGTAGGACTGTCACCATCCTGGAGATATACCAGGAAGCACGCGGCCAGGATCACTGCCAGCTGTAACATCCTGGAGGTCTTCCCTCCGGTCACCCTCTCATTCTGGCCCAGGGCTTCTCCACTGGGAGCTGGCCGTGGCCCACAGCGGGACAGTGGGCAGTGTCCGGAGATATTTTTATCACAATGGAGGGGATGCAACTGGCCTCTAATGGGTGGAGGCCAGGCAGGCTGCTCCTCACTGTAGAATGAGCCCCTCACAGTGGCAGCCCCTCGCCACAGCGGGAGGCCCTAAGCGTGGCTTCTAACCTGTGGTTTTGAGGTCCCAGCCACTTTTGAGGGTTGGGCGAAAGCTCTACACCCTCTCCTTCCAGAACGTGCACGGGAATCTGCAGTGACTACCTGTAACATAGGATTCCAGGGGCTCGTGAGAGCCTCCTACCCTTCCAGGCCAAGGCTGCCTTCTGTGTTGTCGCCTTTGTCTAGACGCCATGGTGACAGCTTGAACTTCAGCTTATTGAGAGGGACAAGTTCTTCAGCAACTGTCCCCTCGACCACCTCTCCTCATTCTCCTCCCCTGCTTGCTGACCAGGAGGCCCCTCTCACTTTTAAGATTTTATTTATTTTTAGACAGAGGGAGAGGGAGGGAGAGAGGGAGAGGAACATTAATGTGTGGTTGCCTCTTGCATGACCACTACTGGGGAATCTGGCCTGCAACCCAGGTGTATGCCCTCAGTAGGAATTGAACTGGCGACCCCCTGGGTCACAGGCTGGTGGTCAATCCACTGAGCTACACCAGCCAGGGCTCATTTTAAAAAATACATTTATTTATTTTTAGAGGGGGAAGGAGAAAGACAGGGAAAGAAACATTGATGTGTGAGAGAAATATTGATCAGCTGCCTCTTGCACACCCCAAACTGGGGATCTGGCCAGCAACCCAGGCACGTGTTCTGACTGGGAATCAAACCAGCGACCCTTTGATTCTCGTCAGCACACTATTCACTGAGCCACACCAGCCAAGGCAAGGCGGTCCTTATTTTTAACATCACTGAGAAAACTAACATGGTTCAATAGAATTTTCATGGAAGAAAGATATTTTCTCACCCTGAAAAGCACAAAACAGGTTGCATATAAATGAAATGCATTATAAAGTAAAAAAAGACAGCTGCCCTGAACCACCAGGGTCTCCCTGTGGTCTCACCACCTCAGTCACATGGCCTGGCCTCCACCACCTCCAGGGTGAATTTCTGCAAGGCCAGCCACCTTGGAGGACATAGATGGGGGGCCTGCAGCCCACCCCCGGCCTCAGCAGTCTGCGGCCTGCCCTCTGTGAGGCCAGGGACCCTCTCTATTGTCAGCTGTTTGTATTTCCCTCTGTAATTAAGAGACAACGGGGGAATTCAAGATACTGAACTGGATCTGAAGACACCTGAGATCCACATGGTCCCACAAAGCCAGGCCAACCAGGAGGGCATAGGTGAGGTGGGGGAGGGGTGTCTGACCCTGCTTGCTGGACCCGTGGGCTCATCTGGAGAACTGGGGACAACCCCCTCCTGCTGGGAGGGTGGTCTGGCAGCATTCTTCCTCAGCCCCGTTTAGAGGGGGATGTGCCTCTGGACTCGGCAGCTCTGCCCTCAGAGTCATCACCCCTTCGTGCTCCCAGAGCCTTCAGGGCCCAAGGCCTGGCAGCCTCCTCTGGGCCTGGCATCCTCAGCCAGGCCGAGGGTCTCACCCTTCTGATGGACATCCCCTCCAAACATGAATCGAAACGAATGGTGTCCCACGGTTATGCTTATGACAAGGTTTTAATAAAATAAAAAGTTCAAGTGCTTCCAATCCCCCAACATACCCCATTCCAGTGTGGGGGGAGGGAGCCCCCACACCCCAGTAGCACCAGGGATAGCACCATGAGAAAGATGAGGTCACACCCGGCCTCCC